GGGCTTTGTTGCTTCTGAGCTAGATGGCCGCTTGTTTACTTTCAATCTTTTAAGAACCCAGATGCTATATCTTTTGATAGCCGGGCACCATCAGTTTTCTTCACTACATTTGCTTATTCATCCGCTTTGTCTTCAGCGGTTGTGTTGGGAAGGTGAGCATCATAGAATGCCAATTTAATAGACGAAAGTATTCTTGCACTGAGGTAGTACTTGAGTGGAGGCCCAATGTCCTTCTGCTACCTTAATACTAAACCTATAAATGTAGACACATAGATCTATTTCCCCATCCTCATATATAAATATATTTGCATATGTACATATCTTTACCTAGACCTCTATAAATGTCCTTTGCCTCCCAGCTGTTTCCTCTATTTCCCTTGACTTTCCTCCTGTCCCACTATCATCCTCAGTCCCCACCAGGGTTTTAGCAATTCCTCTTTGTTATGTTAACCTTGATCATGCCCTACCAGGCCTCCCACAACCATTTCACCACCAATTTGGATCATTTGTTGTTCCCTTGCCGCTGTGTAAGCTTTTCTATGTCACTGTGCATTAACTTGAGCTTTTGGTGTGTTTGTATGAATTAATCCATAACCTTTATGTTCTCAAATGTTGTATTACGATCTTTAGACATAGTAAATACTCTTTCTATTGCATCGGGTTCTGTTGGGGTGTTAGCCTTTTCATCTCTAATTCTAGGTATTTGCATATTTTCATTCTTCACATTTAAGTTTGCCAGTAGTTTATCAGCTTTGTTAATCCTTTCAAAAAGCCAACTTGTCAGGCGGCATTTTACCTTGTTTTTCTATTATTCACTTTATTATTTCTGCTCCAGTTTGTATGATTTATTTTCTTTTGTTGGGTGAAGGGACAGAATCTTGCTCGCGTTAAGAAGCTTTTCTCCTTTTAATCCATGTGTGCATTTATTGTCATACATGTTTGCTGTCTTGCACAGTGTTAATATGTTGTGCTTTTGTTTTCATTTGTTTCAATGATCTCTAAACATTTCCTCACTTATTTGATCTACTACCAGTCATTTTAAAGTAATATGTTGTTCAGTTTCCATGTGTTCTATTCCCCTGCCCCCCCCCCCCCCACCCCCACCCCCAACCCCCGGTATTTCTACTGTTGATTTCTACGTTTTTAGCATTCTGGTCTGCGAAAATGGGTTACAGAACCTCAATTGTTTTTAAATTTATGGAGGCTTGCTTTGTTACCTAATATATGGTTTATTATAGAGAATGTACCATTTATAAAGGAGAACAATGGCTAGTGTATTGTGGGATTGAGTCCACTGTATAGAGGTCAATTGCTTGATTGTTTGTTTAGTTCATTGGTGGCTTTACTGAGTTTCTTTCCTGATGATCTGTCTTTGTAAAGAGTGGTGTTTTAAAGTCTCCTACTATCATGCCATGTTGTCTGTTTCTGTTGTCAGTTCTGTTAGAGTTGATTAATATTTCAAAGGTCTTTAGTTGTGTTCAATATAGTTATGTCTTCTTGTTATATTGTTCACCTAAGTATTATATAGCAATTTTTCTGGTCTTCCATGTGGTTTTGTCTTGAAGTCTATTGTATCAGAAATTTCTATTTCCAATCCAGCTTTTTTGTTTTTTGGCTGCCTTCATTGGTAAAAATTTTAGTCTAGTTTGAATTGTAGCTTAATTTTGTCTTTGTTTGTAAGGTGTGTCTCTTGTTGGATCTTGTTTTTTAAATGAGACCTGCCCTGGCTCTGCCAAAAGCAGCCAGTAGAGTTTGTTGATTTCTATCTGTTCACTTATGTTCCCTTCTCCCTTTGATATGCCTTTTCTCCCAGCCTCTGGGCTGGAAAGTCATAGGTCCACTTAGTTTTAAAGTTGTTTTTCTAGTTTGCAGGGAGGCTAGTTCTTCTATGTAGTTTTTATTTTTCATTTTTCCCCCCAGGTCTTTCTTGAACTGCTACCTCTGTACTTGTTAAATGACAACCATCTTCTAGGAAGTTTCAAGGATGTCACTCTGAGGACTTTGATTTGCTTCTCCAAGCCATGGTATTTGAAATTTAGTCAGATGAATGTGAAAATCCATCTGGACATTAAATAAGGAAAACTGAAACTGAATTGTTGCATTTGATTCATCAAATTCAAAGGGATATTTAAAGTTCCATGAAGGAAAACAAATCAATATGTCCTGGAGAAAGTTCATCCAGTATGCTCCTTGGAAGCAAGGATGATGAGACTTCATGGCATGGACTTTGGACAGGTTTTCAGGAGAGAGCAGTCTCTGGAGAATGATATCACACTTGATAAAGCATTAAGAGAAGACCAGCTGAAAAGGAATATCATCCACAAAATGTATTGGTCCAATTGCTGCAATAATAGGCTCAGACATAACAGGAATTGTGAAAATGGCACAGACCTAGAAAGTGTTTTGTTCTGTTATAGGTAGGGCTGAAATATGTCAAAACAGAATTTGTTACCTTACCACCACAACAGTATACCTGATTTCTAGTTTAGAAGATTAATAAACCATACAAAATTATGTACTAGAATGCTCGTACTTGATCTTAGGCCTCTTACATAAACATGTAAACCTGTTAAGGAAGGGAAAGGGAAAAAATACAAGAATGAGGAAAATGTGCAAGAAAGCTAATAGAAAATAATCCAGAGTGAATCATTTGGTAAATCCTGAACTTAATTTCAGCAAAGGGGAATAGTAGGATGTAAGGGTGAATATGGAGTGTCCTATAAAATGCTAATCGGTTTGACATTTGGTATTTAAATTGTCTCAGACACTATTTTATTTAGAAAGCACCAATCTTAGAAATTGACTGCAAAACTTCACTTGAGGAGAGATTAAAATGACCAATGTGTAGTTTACAGCTGATGGCTGTGAGTTTTGGTGAGATTTATCTTTCTATATGAGGAGCCCCGGAGGTGCTGTCAAATTAGCATTGCTTCCTGGCTTAAAGCCCATGTGTCCAAAAAAGATGGATCTATCTATTCCAGTCAAGATGTCAAACCTTGGCAACCCGACCCCGTGTCACATGAGTCTGAATAAATGGGATGGCAGTGGACCTGTTGATCTTATATACGACACATTAGACATGGGTGTGTTTATCAGTCCTCACATGTCTACATTTCTGTGTAACATGTTTTTATCATTGGCACTTTTCACTGATTGTGGTTTCCCTAGAGTCTAAAGTTTTATCAGCTATTTATTAGAGAGCTAATCCCAAGGCTCCATTTATAGTGGAATAGTAAATTGGCAACAATTTTCCAACAGGTTCTAAACAGATAGAGACTCAATATAAAACTAGCCTCCGTGGTCTATGTTGAAAATATAGTTGGTGTTATCCCGTGTCTTCTTTCCTGTGGAACTATATAAAACATGAGCTATTCATTTTCTCATGGTTTAGGTATGTATTAAAGTTACATGACAGCAAAAGGGTCTAAAACATTCTGGATGTGATATGCATCATAGTTCAGTTTTTGTTGATTTATTTTACAAAATTGAAATCAAAATTAAAAATATATCTATCTAATGGAGATGGAATATAATAAAAATATGAAACTTCCATATGATTTTACATATATCAGAAAATGATTATGTGGTTGATTGATGAAGCATATATACATCTGCTGTACAGTATAGGGAATGAAAGCTCAAGTTTAGCAGTGCCATAATATTGATAGCACCCTTGTACTGATAACCCCTATTTGATATCAGGGCATTTATGATCTTTCCTTGTCCAGTCTTCTGTCAGAAGATTAAGAGCCTTCACTGAATATCACAATTATTTCAAAAAAAATAGAGCCATTGTACAATATAACATATCCTTTCTGACATAATCTCTGAAGGAAAGTAATACTTTATTGTTATCTCTGTCTTTCCAAGATAGGTATGTTGTCAGATATATGGATAAATTATAAAGAATAAATAAGATCTATGCTTACTTTTATCGTGGTTTTGAACAAATATTTCCTAAATTGGTACTCCATAGAAAGTCTCTTTATTTTATTGCTTAGGCACAGAAAACGTTTGGTTGCTTATGCGTCCGTTTGAAAACATGGTAAATGTGCCTTTCTCTTATCCTTTAGGTAATTGAGTCCATTTTCTCTCTGGTTAGTCTGCTATTCCAGCGAATTATGTGCCTCTCCAAATGCCATCCCTAAGTCAATAACCTCCTAAAACTACTCATGTTGTCTTCTACCCACATGCCCAATGAGCTAATCAAGAATGAAGATAGCCCTGTAAGTGTTGCCTCTGGAGTGGTACTGAAATGAACATATATTTGCAAGAAACTGATAACGGCGTGGAAAGTGAATAAAACATTTAAACCTCTTTAGAAACCACTACCACTATGCCGCTCTAATATCAACCCCTGTGAAAAGGGACAGTCATAGAAAAATGGAACCAACAGTGAAAATGACCTGGTGCGTTTATTATATGAATTTATTACTTCTCTCAAACTTATGACTGTTTGCTAATGTGAAAGAGTTTCAGAGACCATGTATTTTTTATTGCAACAATATTTATTGTAATATTCCATTTGTGACCTTATGACAGTGTACTAGGCTTATTCTTGGCATTTCATATGGTCTCCAACAAATGAATTATTAGAAAAAGTCTGCATTTTCTAATTATGAAAGTGTTTTACACATCTGATTATGCATCTTCACTGAATATCTCCCTTTTTATATCCCTGCAGGCCCCTTTGTGTGTACTCATGATTATTTCATGTGTTCATATCATTCAAGAATATCACAGTATATATAACATACAATATTCTTCCAAAGTTAATACAAAGCTTTCATATTTCTTAGGATGTCACGGGTACTTGTTGATAAGTCTTACATGTTCAATTAGAGTTAAATCAATATAACCAGAGAGCGTATATTCAGTAACTCATTGAATTTGGCCTATTCAAATAGCAATGGCTCACATTTAATGTATGAACTTGATCAGTAAACTACTCAATTTAGGTAATCTTTTACTTTCCTTGCTGTAGTGAATACCAAACCCTTATTCAATTTTAATTCTTCTTGCTTCTAAGAGTAAGAATTTTTCCTATTTCACCATTTGGAAGGATGTTTTATCACAACAACAGCACTTTTCACCCAACCACATTTTTCCTCATTGGAATTCCAGGTCTAGAAAAGATCCAAACCTGGATATCCTTGCCATTTTGCACAGTTTACCTTATGGCTTTGATGGGCAATGTCACCATTATACTAGTAATCAAGACGGAGCAAACCCTTCGGGAGCCCATGTTCTACTTTCTGGCCATTCTTTCAACAGTTGACTTGGCACTTTCGACAACGTCTGTGCCTCGCATGCTGGGAATCTTCTGGTTTGATGCTCATGAGATTAACTTTGGAGCCTGTGTGACCCAGATGTTTTTGATCCATACCTTCACTGGCATGGAAGCTGAAGTCCTGATGGCCATGGCATTTGACCGTTATGTGGCAATCTGTGCTCCACTCCACTACACAACCATCCTGACCGCCCGCGTTCTGGTGGGCATCACTACATGCATTGTATTTCGTCCAATTTTGCTTACACTTCCGATGGTCTATCTCATCTATCGTTTGCCCTTTTGTCAGGCTAATGTAATAACCCATTCCTACTGTGAGCACATGGGTATTGCAAAATTGTCCTGTGGAAACATCCGCATCAATGGTATCTATGGACTTTTTGTGGTATCCCTCTTTCTTCTGAACTTAGTCCTTATTGGCATCTCTTATGTCTACATTCTCCGTGCTGTCTTCCAACTCCCATCCGAGGAAGCAAGGATCAAAGCCTTAAGTACCTGTGGCTCCCATATTGGGGTCCTCTGTGTTTTCTATATCCCCTCCGTCTTCTCGTTCCTTACTCACCGGTTTGGACAAAACATACCACACTATATTCACATTCTTATTGCCAACCTCTACTTGGTTCTCCCACCTTCCCTTAACCCCATAATTTACGGTGTGAGGACCAAACAGATAAGAGAGCGAGTACTCCGTGTCCTTATTAAAAATTAAAGCTTTCTTACCGCATTTTGTCATTCTGGTCACACAAGGAAAACTATTGTGCTAATGCCAGAAAACCTGCTTTCTTTGCCCAATGGTGTACTGTCAAGGTGAATTCCAGGGGATTTTATACTTTGGCTTTTATATGTAATTATTTGAACCTTTTTAATAGTATTTCACATTCATAGAGTGATTATTATCCTGGAAGGAAGATATGGATATAGTTATCTCTGTTTTTTTAAGTGCAGTGAAGTATCTCTGAGTGTCTGTTTTAATAACTATTTTACATTGTTGTGGTGGTGACTATTTTAGCTGCCATCAACTCCATTCAGAGTCACGGTGACCCTCGTGTGCAGAGTAAACCTCCTATATAGGTTTTCAAGTGTGACCTTTCTGAGGCTCATCTCCAAGCCTGCCTTCTAAGGGTTCTTCTTTGTGGTTCAAACAACTAACCTCTCAGCTAGTGGTCAATTGCTCAACTGTTTGCATCACCCAAGGACTCTTAACCCTTTGTTAACTGATGACGGTTTCAATTTGTTTTACTAATTTAGAAACATTTATTGACATCTTAATAATACTTTTGTTTCATATTTTTAAATTTTATTCAGTGTTACACTCAGAAGTAGAAGTGTTCAGTAGTGCATTCATGAATAATTAGTTTCTATTCCTCCTATTTTTAATTTACAATAATTTTGTCCCACCATTGGATTTTCTTATTAGATTCTTTAAGATATTTTTGCATTTTGTACCTCAAATATTAAATTTTTGCTGTTAACGTTTTATATTTAATTATTTATTCTCTTAAGGAAGATTAACACTTTTATTATTTAAATATTTATTAAATCACGTATGATAAAGATTTCTATTACTTTCAAACTTAAACTTCTATATAGCTTTTGTGTACACCTTACATCATTTTATTATTAGTGTGTGTGTATGTTCATTTTCACTCTATCTGCAATTGATTTGGGGGAAAAATATGAAGTAACAAATTAAATACATCTTTGTTTCTGTCTACAGTGTGTTTTCTTAGTATATGTAATAATTAATCTGTTAAAAATTGATTTGTTTTAATATTTTTATACATTAAATATCAATATATAAAGAAGTGTATTTTTCATTTAATTATTTGGTTATTTGTTTATCTTTGCATACACACCACAATGTTTTAATAAATACAAGGTATAATATATTTGACTTTAATTACAATAATACTTTATAGAATTATGTAATTTAAATTTTTACAGAAATATGTAACAATAGGCTTTTACATATTTGTATGTATATATGTATATGCATAAACATAATGTGTGTATATATACATATTTATATACACACATATCTGTGGGTCTTTAAAAGTTTGTGGGGAAACTCCATTTTCTTCTAATTCCATTATTCTATGAGTTTCTTGAAGTCCTCTATTGTGTGTGTGTATAGTGATGTCTTGATTGCCAAACTCAGTACATCACTCATGTTTGAACACTTAAAAATAGAAAACTGAACATTTTGTTTCTTGTAAGAAATCATGGAAAACCAATTAATTGGTTCTGAGTCAACAAAATTACACGTATAAATTCCTTGTGGATGCTTTCAGCCTTCTTGCATATCATCATCTGGGATACTCTATCACCATAGAGTTGTTTCTGATTTGTCCAAATTAACAGTGATTTTTCAACCTCTTTGATGGTCTGGGTGTTGGTTTTGAGTTTAATGATTTCACATCTTTTGCTACATTAGCTGCTCTAATCACTCCCCACCCCCCAAAAAATGCAGGTAATGGCAGCTTATCCATGTTGTATTCAGCCACCAAATCAGCCAAGCAGCGACCTGATTTCAAATTTTCCAATGATTTCTTTCTTTAATACTATCATGGTTCTCACCGATTTCCTCTTAGCTTTACTGATGGTATCACGAACTTTCTTTGGAGCCATGGTTATGATATTCTGTGCAAATAAAGTACAAAAGAACCACATGTTGGTGAATGTTTTAACACGTTAACACAAGCACTGTATGTTGTCTGAGCAAGAGCAATGCTTACATTGAGGCATAATAACCTTCCCTGTGCATGTTGCAAGATGTTTTTTCCAGGCAGCTTATCAGTTTGATTGTCAGACAAAGTTACAAACACTGAGCAGATTTTTTTCAAACTTTGCTACTAAAGTAATGCAAAGTTATAGCTTACAGCCAATTGAAAACTGATAGGTGTGTGTGTGTGTTTAAGTAGATAGATAATATATGATAGATAGATATTTAAGTGAAAGAAGATATATATACAACATGATCATAATTATACAGTAATCTGAAAATACAAAACTGTGGAGAAATTAAAAGTCTTAGTGATTGCCTAACACTTGCACAGAGTGGAGAAGGATTAAGCTACATAAAGGAGAATTTTAGTGGTCATGAAGTTATTGTATACATGACAATAGCATTTATCACACCCTTTGAAGTATATACTAAAATGTGAATATTACCTTCCTACTCCATTGAGCCAATGACAACTCATAGCTACCATACTGGACAAAGTAGCACTGCCTTTTCAGGTTTTGAGGCTATAAATCTGAGAAGAGAACAAAGTCTTATCTTCCTTCGGAAGTGTGACTAGTGGGGTTGAATTGCCGCCTTTGCAGTTAGTATCCCAACTTGTAATCCACTATGCCACCAGTCTCCTTGCAAATAATAGCGCTTGCATTAAATTTAAAAAAGGACTGAGAGATACTTCAGATAATGAAGGATGTTATATAAACAATTTAAAAGTATTTTTACATTATTTCTTTTTTTTAATCATTTTATTAGGGGCTCATACAACTCTTATCACAATCCATACATACATCAATTATATAAAGTGCATTTGTACATTCATTGCCTTCATCATTCTCAAAACATTTCCTCTCCACCTAAGCCCCCGGCATTAGGTCCTCATTTTCCCCCGCCCTCCCCCTCCCCGCTCCCTCATGAGCCCTTGATAATGTACAAATTATTATTTTGTCATATCTTGCCTTGTCCGA